AGTGGTGGCACTGGTCACCGTATCCACTGTTAGCGTAACACACCGGCTTTAAGGACACTGACTGCTATTCAATCTATAACAGTGAAAAAAGTTTTTTGTTTTTAAATGCAAGCTATTGTGACACCAGTGAGTGAGTGGTGGCACTGGGCACAGTATCACTGTGAGCCTGACACACCCGCTTTAAGGACACTGACTGCTATTCAATCTATAACAGTGAAAAAAGTTTTTTTTTTAAAAATGCAAGCTATTGTGACACCAGTGAGTGGTGGCACTGGGCACCGTATCCACTGTTAGCGTAACACACCCGCTTTAAGGACACTGACTGCTATTCAATCTATAACAGTGAAAAAAGTTTTTTGTTTTTAAATCCAAGCTATTGTGACACCAGATCTAAGTGGTGGCACTGGACACGGTATCCACTGTTAGCGTAACACACCTGCATTAAGGACACTGACTGCTATTCAATCTATAACAGTGAAAAAAGTTTTTTGTTTTTAAATCCAAGCTATTGTGACACCAGATATAAGTGGTGGCACTGGTCACCGTATCCACTGTTAGCGTAACACACCCGCTTTAAGGACACTGACTGCTATTCAATCTATAGCAGTGAAAAAAGTGTTTTGTTTTTAAATCCAAGCTTTGTGTCACCAGATCTAAGTGGTGGCACTGGTCACCGTATCCACTGTTAGCGTAACACACCCGCTTTGAGGACACTGACTGCTATTCAATCTATAACAGTGAAAAAAGTGTTTTGTTTTTAAATCCAAGCTTTGTGTCACCAGATCTAATTGGTGGCACTGGTCACCGTATCCACTGTTAACACCCGCTTTAAGGACACTGACTGCTATTCAATCTATAACAGTGAAAAAAGTGTTTTGTTTTTTTAAATCCAAGCTTTGTGTCACCAGATCTAATTGGTGGCACTGGTCACCGTATCCACTGTTAGCGTAACACACCAGCTTTAAGGACACTGACTGCTATTCAATCTATAACAGTAAAAAAAGTTTTTTGTTTTTAAATCCAAGCTATTGTGACACCAGATGTAATTGGTGGCACTGACTGGGGAAATGGGCACTGTGAGCCTGACACAGAAGCTGGCAGCAGTGGCAGACAACTAAGTGCATTTACATTACATAGAAAAAAAAAAGCATACCCTTATCCCTAACCTAGCTATGCTTTTCCCTATCTTATGAACAGCAGCTACACTTTCCCTCCTCTTACTAAGCATGCAGCTTGAGAATGAATCTAAAATGGATGCCTTCCAGGAGGTGGGAGGGTCTGCTAGGGAGGGTGTGCTGCTAATTGGCTGGAATGTGTCTGCTGACTGTGAGGTACAGGGTCAAAGTTTACTCAATTATGACGAATAGGGGGCGGATCGAACCGCGCATATGTTCGCCCGCCGTGGCGAACGCGAACATGCTATGTTTGCCGGGAACCGTTCGCCAGCGAACCGTTCGGTACATCACTAATGAACACATATAAAGCATACTAACAGTTAACAGGCAATGGTACGCATGAATACACACATACTTATTTGCTCTAAATAAGCATGAATGTACAAGTGGTTAGATCTCTGGCAGACTCAGAAGTGTGGGTGGAATGATACAGTACATTCTCATCCGTACCCGCAGGGTATAGAACATCATTGAACATCATTCAGCCATTGTTACCTTGTTGGGTTCATCAACCTGTCTAACAGTTTTTGTCTAAAAAAATGCAAAAATTGCAAGCACTGATCTAACTTAATGGCATTCTGTATTTTGTGTATGTATTTAATATTGATGTAGACCAATTTCTTTAGTTTTGTAGAACATTAGATATGTCATTATCTCCTCCTGGATTTTGCTATAAGAATATATAATTTTGAATCTTCCCTTTGAGGAACCTTATCAACATGTTTACACCAAGCAGTCTGTTTCAACCCATGGTTCAGACTCTAAAAGAGGACTATGTCTACCTAGAGCTCTGCATTGTTTGTAATTATGTTTTTAATAATATCTAGGTGTGTGAAATTATGTGTCTTGTAATCTGGCTGCTATCAGAGTAGTGGTTTGGTGATACCCAAACAGGTGTAAATTTTCCAAAAACGTTCTTAAAAAAAGAAAAAGAAATGTAATTGTTATCTTTTCTTTTAGGTGCATATACTGGAAGGTCCTACATATGATATTATTCCTCAACTGAAAAAGAAATATGAAGTGGATACTCTAGATTTTGTGTTTATTGATCACTGGAAGGACAAATACAAACCAGATACCCAGCTTCTGGAAGTAAGTATGGATATATAAGATCGAGGGCTATGTATTAATTATATAGATTTATGTTTTGTATCCTGGAATTAAAAAAAGAATTGAT